GAAGATTGGCTGTGAGGCAGCGGGGGTGGGGCCAGCCTATTTGCCAGTTCTCCGAACTACTCAAAATTTCCGCTCCAGAACCTGTCAGAACTGGCTGAATGCCAGCTCTGGTTTAATGGGGCTGTCTGCTTCAGTTACTTGATCTATGTCTTTCTGTCATTCCAGTCTTGGCATAACTAACCTAGAAATTATGTGTAATATGGAGCTCCCTAATGGAGGTGAGGGCTGGTAGCAGCTTTGACAGGGTTATTTGCCCCCTGAATTCACTGCAGGTGAGCAGCAGTAAAGGGGACACATCTCTGTGTTATCTACAGTGCAAGTATTCTGCTGGAAATCTTAAAAAGCAAACTGAAAAGTAGAATGATCAAGTGAAGCTGATATGAAAAATTCAATATGCCACACAATTAAAGATAGGTGATTGGCTCTTCCTATACATTTCAGATATCTTGGCGAAAAAGTGTGTGGTTAGTGCAGTCTGGGATCCATCAGGGCATCTCCATGTACAAGGTAAGCATGAATTTAGCCATTTGCAGTTTTTGGATAGGTACCGTGTTTCCCTAAAAATAAGACCCAACCAGAAAATAAGCCCTAGCATGTTTTTTCAGGATGCTCATAATATAACTCCCACCCCCAAAATAAGCCCCAGTTAAGATTGTCAGCCCTGGGTAGGGGGGGAGCACCAATGTCCAGCTGCTGCTGCAGCCTGCCGGCCCCTTGGCCAGCACACTCTGGGGCTGTGCAGCCCATGCAGTGCAGGTGAGTCTGAGCGCTGCAACTGCCGTGCTGGCACTCTTGACTTTTGAACATGCTGATATGATGTACCCAATAAAGAAGATCTTTGAAAAAGCAACAGCCTCAGAGTCTTGAACTAATTGGGAGCATTGCTTGGAACCATGACACTAAGCCAACTCTCTTCTATCTTATCAAAACTACGGGACTCCTGAGCCCCAGCCCTCCGCCCGTTTCGAGGGAAGGGAAATTCTCAGGAAGAGATGGCTGAGAAAAGGGGAGGAGAGGCTGCCAGCAAACCAGTGGAGGACCCAGGAACCTCACAGGCTGGAGCCCAGGGGAGCGAGATCACCCAGCTGATTGTCATGCGACCAAAGCTGCGATCGGGGAAGCCTGACCAGACAGAGCTGCATGGAGAAGCAGCGACTGGGGGAATCCCCTACCTCACAGCAGACAAATTCTGGTGGAGGAGGACACCCAGTGCAGCAGAGATCAAGCTCCCCGTGGCTGCGCCCATGTACACGGGGGCCCAACCTGTAAAGTGGAGGGAGAAAAGGGCTGTAGATTGGGAGAGTGTGGAGATATTTGACTGTGCTCCGGAGCACTTCGGTGGAGCAGCTGAGAGTGCATTTTGACCACGACAGCATCCAAGGAGTGGAACCTTTGCAACGGTGGGAAGTAGCAGAGGAGGTGATTCCTCGGGCAGCCCAATCGCTTCTGGTACATCAGAGCCTGAGTCCTCCCACCAGATTCCACCACACCAACCCAAAGCTATGACTAGCAGCTGTATGTAGCCCAAATCGAGCAGTTCCAGTGCAGCAGAAGACCGCAGCTGCAAGTGTCAACCCCAGGTAAAGCCCTGTCCTTTCCAGCAGCAGCGACAGGGGTGAGTCCTGGCACTAGCCTGATCCCTAGGCAGCTGCCACGGCTGGTCAGCCTGCCCAGGCAGCCACAGCAACTCCTTCCCGGGGGCCTCGGGTGGCATCAGGCCCCTTTCCCTCCTCCTGGGCCTGGTTGGCACCCAGGGTACTGGCTGCTGCCACCTCACCACAGGGGGCTTCCCCCGGATGTTACATTTGACGGGGACCCCGACAAGTTGGTGATCTTGACAACATTCTAGGCCACCTAGATCACTATACCCTGGCCTACCCAACCCAAAGGGTGATGGTAAGAGCAATGACTATCAAATTTAAGGGGGAAGCAGCGGAATGGGTGATGGCTTGTCACGACAAAGACGCCCCGGAGCTGAGAGATGCTGGAATAGTGTAGAAACTATTCAGAGTTGGCTTGAATTTTGAATGTGCCAATATGATGTACACAATAAACAAGATCTTTGAAAAAGCAACAGCCTCAGAGTCTTGACCTAATTGGGAGCATTGCTCGGAACCATGACAGGCAGAGGCACGGGGGGAGGCATGTGATCCGGCTCGCTGGCTGCACCCCATAGCTGGCTGGGGCCACTCCATCCCTTGCATGGCTATGACACTTCCCCCTGTATGTGTGTGTGTGTGTGTGCGTGTATGTATATATATACACCAGGTCTTATTTTCGGGAAATCATGGTAAATTAGAGCGAAAGAGGCATATTCCTTTTTCTACATATCTCAAAATGTGGCAGAAGTAGAAACATGAATAAGTGGCCTGCATCAGAATACAGGCAGTCCTCGACTTACAACCAAAATTGAGCCCAAAATGTCTGTTCCTAAATGAAACATTTAAGTGAATTTTGCCCCATTTTACAACTTTCTTGTCACAGTTGTTAAGTGAATCACTGGAGTTTTTAAGTTAGTAACACAGTTGTTAAATGAATCTGGTTTCCCCAATGACTTTGCTTGTTAGAAGGTTGCAGAAGCTGATCACATGACCCCAAGGCATTACAAATGTCATAAATATGAGCCAGTTGCCAAGCATCTGACTTTTGATCACATGGCCATGGTGGATGTTGCAAAGGTCATAAATGTTAAAAATGGTCATCAATCGCTTTTTAAAGTGCTGTGGTAACTTTGAACAGTCACTAAATGAACTGTTGTAAATTGAGGACTACCTGTATATTAAAAATAGTGGTAGATGAATCCTAGTGTTTAAGGTCAGTGAAGTGCTTGCCTAATTTGAAAAACAAATAAGCTCAAGTCTCAAGAATATATTGGAAAAATTCCTTTCTAATACTGGAACTCATGAATTAGTCACCCATCCTTTTCTAAAACTTTTTAACTCCCTAAAACTTCAACTGCATGCAGTAATCTTATCTCTGGTTTTAGCAATCTCTATAACCCAAAATAGAGGACAGTGATGATTACACTTGTGAACAGGTGTTCTGATTTACCATATCTTTCAAAAATCCTGGAACACTGGGGAAGTACCTGAGGATTGGAAAAGGGCTGATGTAGTTCCCAGCTTCAAGAAAGGGGGGAAAACCAGACCCAGGAAACTAAAGACCAATCAAGTCTAACATCAATACCAGGGAAGATTCTGGAAACGATAATCAAAAAACAGATCTGCGAACAACTAGAAACAAATAAAGTTATAACTAGTAACCAACACAGGTTTGTTAAAAACAGATCAAGCCAAACCAACCTTATTTCGTTATTTGATAAAGTCACTAAATTAGTAGACCAGCAAAATGCTGTGGACATAGTATACTTAGATTTCAGTAAGGCTTTTGACAAAGTAGACTACAACCTATTTCTTGGTAAACTAGAAAAATGTGGAATAGACAACCTCACCACCAGATGGATTTGTAACTGGCTGACAAACTGTACTCAATGAGTAGTCCCTAATGGTACTACATCCACATAGAGAGAAGTAAGCAGTGGGGTACCACAAGACTGCATCTTAGGCCCAGTACCCTTCAATACCTTCATAAATGACTTAGATGAGGGAATAGAAGGGGAACTCATCAAATTTTCAGATGACACTAAGCTGGCAGGAATAGCCAACATCCCAGAAGTCAAGCTCAGGATCCAAAAAGATCTTGACAAACTTAAAACAATGGGCCCTATCCATTTGGTGAAGTTCCAAATTGCCCTATGCCCGTGATGGCGAACCTATGGCACGTGTCCCAGAAGTGGCACACAGAGCCATCTCTCCGGGCACGCGAGCCATTGCCCGTTGCTCTTCTGGGTTTCGGCGTGCCGGCCACCTGGTCTTCACATGCGTGGGATCACCGGAAACTGGAAGAGCAGCCGCCCAGTGCACATGCGTGTGCAGCTGCTCTTCCAGTTTCCGGCACGCATGCTCCCGTTTTGGCACTCGGTGCCGAAAAAGTTCAACAACACTGCCCTATGCTATTTAATCAGCAAAGGGGCAAAAAGAACATTGATGCCATCATTCTGTTATTAGATGATTTCAGCCTGGCACTAACCCAGTAAAAATGATAAGATTAAAGCATTGCTAGCTGAGCAGTCTAGTCTAGTCCTGCTGTATTATAATTCTGACAAAGCACCAGCACAGTGCTGTTGTATCCTGCTTTTTAGAGAGACAACAGAATGGCAGCAGGCAATGTTGACCAGAAAAGATGGAACAGGACATGCCCAAATAGCATGAAATAGGCAATAAGCATCTTATGGTTTCCATCAGTACTGACAACCTGATTTAACCTCTAAAACAATAGGTGACAAAGTATAATAGGTTTTATACTTTGTGGCTCCTATTGGGAAATCTCTATTTGTTTCACATGGACAAAATAAATGTGTCCATTTATCAGAATATTTAATAGGTGGAGTTTTCCAGTGCTGATCTTAAATTTCAGTAGCAAGAGTTCCAGGATACAAGGTAAGGTGAGAATAATGACATTTAAGGCAAAAATACCTTAAACACCAGTTGCAACTCTTTGAACCAACATGTTCTGGAGCTGATTTTGTTTAACTGTGTTATGTTAACCTGTTTACCTGATGAAGAGATCTTAGAAATTCCAAAGCTAGAATCTCCTTTTCTAAAATGTAAGTTGATCTAATAAAGATCCTTCTACATTTTTTATCTTTTAGCCAATATAACCGCTTCATAGCTGATTTAATTCTTATTCTCTTTAGCCTAGATTATAACAGGAATGAAGTGTTAAATTTTTGACCAGGCATTGAATTCCAGAGTCTGAAATTTAACTCAAATGTATTTAGATACTTTTAAAATATAAAGATATGTAATTCTAGTTGAAAACCAAAAGTAAAAATTCTAGAACACCAAGCAAATAGAAGGTACAAAGTCTTACTCCCTTTTAGCTGAATATGATGAAACTTTTAGAATGTAGTGATTTAACTGAAAATTAATTTTCAATAAGCAGACTATTAGCACTGAGCTGATCTATGTCTTGCTAAACATTTTTGTAGTTAAGTTTTTATAAAAGATATAGTTTTATAAAAATATAGAGAAAGCTTGTAGTAGCAGAATCTTCAGCCATAGTTATGATTTCCAGAAGAAACATGGTCCTTTACTTGTAAAAAATTCCAATTAGTTACAGCTAGCATGGCAATTTTAGCTGAACCACAATTCAAGATCTTACTCTTAGCAGCAATTCATTCAAATGTAGAGAAACAGTAAAAGCTGTCAATGTGAAAATATTTTAAGACCCCATTTCCACTGCTTCAGAAGGAAATTTGATGGTTACCCTAATAGACATATGAAGGAGCCATCTGGCATTAAGAATAGCATAGCCATCATAAGCTGAAAAATTTCAACAGATTTGAAGTAGCAGTTAATTTCTTATCTAAGCCCCATTTTAAACATTCTTTATCAAAAGCCCAAATCTGCGACTTGTCTAACTTTATTTTTTTTCAGCCTTTTAAAAAAGGTTTTGGATCTTAAGTATTTAAAATTCCTATCCCTCCCTCCCATATAAAGTGCATTTTCGGATGTGGTGCCTTGCTCTTTCATTTTAAAGATATGTGACGCTTCAACTTCAGAAGCTGTGAACATCAGCAATGTCCA